GGCTCTGCTGTCTGTCTCGTGCAGTGACCCTTTTGCTTTGAGAATCCCTCTGGCCATCTTCCATTTTCCACTTTTCCCGTCATCCTTCCTGGTGATGGCCCGTGCTTATGCGCCGCCGCTTTCCCCTGGAGAACGAGTTCAAGCCGTATTTTAGGAACTAAAGACTGATGTGGAAAGCTTAGAGTTAATTCCAGCCCTGCTGGGATTGGGACAGAAATGACGTCAAATGGTGCTCCTGCTTTGTTTCCAGTTTCTACTGAGCTGATTCTCAAGAACCCGGGAACTCAAACATCAGCGTAAAGGAAGTTCAGATAGACAGAGGCTAAGGGGTCGGGAGAGGCCAGTGGTGACTTGAACTCTGTAGCCTAGAACGTTGTAGAGGTGGAAGCTGTTTCTCATCACCTACACACTCTTACTGGGCATTCATCGTGGCCAAGACTCAGGTCAGGGAACTGTCTGTAGTTTCCGTGTGTCTGCAGAGGGCCTTCGTCGTGGGTATGCACGAAATCAGCTGAAACAAGATCGCGCGTGAGAAGGGCTGCTGGAGCTCTCCCTGCTCCTGCCGCCTCATCACCTGCAGTCCTTTTTTCCTAGACAGTCTCACTCCATCGCTCAGGCTGGAGTGCAGTGGCACCATCTCGGCTCACCACAACCTCCGCCTCCCGGGTTCAAGTGATTCTCCTGCCTCAGCCTCCCAAGTAGCTGGGTTATAGGCACCTGCCATGATGCCCGCCTAATTTTTGTATTTTTTATTTTTTAGTAGAGACAAGTTTTACCATGCTGGCCAGGCTGGTCTCAGACTTCTGACCTCAGGCCTCCCAAGTGCTGGGATTACAGGCGTGAGCCACCGCGCCCAGCCTGCAGTCTTTTTCTCATGGCTGAGGAATCCTTCCAGTGGTCACATTTTGCCTGTAGCCCTCCTGAACCCTAGAGTCTGCAGAAAACCTCCAGCCAGACAGCTTCTGGGTAGAGAAACAGGCCAAGAAGACTCTCCTAGGCATGCAGCATGGGGCTGTGCTCCGTGACGAGGGACAAACAGGAATATCTGTGTGCCACGGTCACGGATAGCAGTCGCAGTGAGTGATTACGGGCCGCTCCTCAGCCTCCCGTCGGGCTGTGTGGCAGGCAGCGATTGCCTCCGTGTTGGCGGAGTGAGTGTCTGTGCAGTTCGGGAGCCAGGCGCTGCCTCTCTCTCTGTGAGTGTCTCACAGTTCCTTTCTCCCTCAGTCCCGTGATGCCGTCCAGGACAAGCTGAACTGATTAATGAGCAGGACATAAAGATAACTGCTGCCCAGAGCAACAGCTGTCCCGCTCCATCCGTGGATTAATTAGACAAACAGGGCAGAGCAGGGTCCCCACCAGCGGGAAGTTGGGTGCAGGAAATGCCAGTCTCCTCTTGTTGGAATCAGGGTGTCAGCCCTTCCTGGCCACCATTCAGACCGTTCCTGTAGCTTTCTGGATCCCGTTCCCTGCAGGTCTACCCTGGGGAGTGAAATAGCGACTGTCCCTTCCACCCCGAGAGCTGGGGAGAAGGCGGTGCACGCTAGTAACTGCCTGCCCCTATGTAAGAGCAGCGGGAGAGGCGGGGCTGGAGTAGCTGTCGCCAAGACCCTAAGAGCGCTAGTGATAAAACCAAGATCTCCTGGCGAGAAGTCCGAGGGGCTTTCTGGATCACAAGTGGCATCTCCTCAGCACTTTAATTACAGCGGATTAAGCAGGAAGTGGAGTGCTGGACTAAAGGAATAATGATACGAAGGAGGTGAAGCAGAAAAACTCAATTTCTTTCCTTTAAGGGGAAAAAAAAATGTCCATTTAGTTAGACGAATTGCAAAGAAAAGAATAGAGTGTGGCGTTTCTCCCAGCCTGGAGCTCAATGGGTTTTTAAAGAGCTGTATATCTTTTTGGCCAGACCAGTGACTGGGATCTTTAGCTTCTCTACAGAAAAGGAACCGCAGGCCTGGGATTTCATTAAGATGCAGCAGCGTTCCTTCTGGACAAATGACTCACTCATTCAGCCCCTTCTTGCCTGCATCTCCTTGTAGGCCCTTGCCTGGCTTAGCTCATATTTTACATTCAGCACCTCTAGTTACCCAGAAATTGCATGCAGGCGTGTGAAATAGAAAAGCAGTGGGCTGTGGCCCCATCGGTCCTGCCTGGCACCGCGTCATTCCTGACGTGCAATGCTAGGAGGCTAGGCTGGGAGGTTTTAGAAAGCCTGGAGGTCCCAGGTGCCGTCCAAAAGTGGTGATTTGAATACACGCTCTTAGCACGCATACTGTGTAACTGAGGCAAAGCTATAGAAATGAATGGAACTGAAATCAGACTGTGAACGCACAGTGAACAAGCAAGTTGCCAGAATGGAACGCAGATAAGCCTCGTGGTTATTGTCCTGCGTGTAGCGGCTGTGTGGGATTTGGCTGTTTTACTAATAGGAGCCCCGGGGGCCCAGTGCTTAATAACTAGCTCTGCCTGTCGGGGGTCTCCCACGGCATCCGGCTTGTGATTGATGCCATCCAGAGTCCAGGGCAAGGGGTTCTAAAACCTTATCATGTTTTGTTTTGTTTTTTGTTTTGAAGAGACAAGGTCTCCCTCTGTCACCCAGGCTGGAGTGCAGTGGCACGATCATAGCTTACTGTAGCCTTGAACTCCTGAGCTCAGGTGACCCTGCTACCTCAACCTCCCAAGCAGCTGGTACCTGTAGGTGCGCACCATCTCACCTGGCTATTTTTTTAAATAAAGTTTTTGTAGAGATGGGGTCTCGCCATGTTGCCCAGGCCTGTCTTGAACTCCCACGTCTGCCTCCCAAAGCCCTGGGATTCCATGTACGGGTACCACGCCCAGTCTAAAACCTTACCATAAACATTGTGATTGGAAAGTGATAGGTTATCATGATCCAGGAGAAGGCAAGTAGAGGAGGGAGGAAGAGATACAGGAATTGAATGCCCACTGTGTGCTTATGCCACGCTCAGCACTTTACATGCTGGTCCGTTGACTTTTCACAACCGCCCATATGTCGGGCATTGTTAGGCTGTACAGGTAAGGCAGCTGGGGCTCTAAGAAGTGTGGCTTTCTGTGGGAGGCAGCATTTGGCATAATGGAAAAAGCGCAGGCATTAGAGGTGGGGTCCAAGTCCAGCCCTCCACCCTCAGGTTCAGTGACGCGGGGCAAGTTATGTAACATCAGTTCTTCATCTGTAAGATCTGGACAGGTATGCCCCCACCCTAGAGGACTGGGAGGCTTCAATGAGATTGTGTAGATAACAGCACAGTCGTGGCGTACGAGACAACACGGCAGGTGTCATTCTGTGACTTCACTGTGGGAGAAGCAAGATCTAAACCCTGAGAGGTGGAGCGTCCCACCCTCGGGCTCCTTCTGCCGTGACACCTGCTTCTGGGTCTGCAGAGAGTACTGCCTTCAGTTAGAAGGCAGGCACAGCCGGGACACAGTGCAGAACACCTGGGGACCCAGTGCCCTTGGAATTCTTTCCCTTCAGCCTTGTGCACTGCAGGTGAGTTGGCTGAGCAGATAGAGCCGAGGTCAGCAGGAGGACTGCCAGCTTGCACAAAATATATGATTCTCTGAGCATTTCTGTAAGCTGAAATATTTAAAAATTTACGGCTGGACACGGTGGCTCACACCTGTAATCCCAGTACTTTGGGAGGCCAAGGTGGGCAGATCATCTGAGGTCGGGAGTTTGAGACCAGCCTGACCAACATGGAGAAGCCCCATCTCTACTAAAAATATAAAATTAGCCGAGTGTGGTGGCAGGTGCCTGTAATCCCAGCTACTTGGGAGGCTGAGGCAGGAGAATCGCTTGAACCCAGAGGTTGCAGTGAGCCGAGCACCACTGCACTCCAGCCTAGAGAGAGACTCCGTCTTAAAAAAGAAAAAGAAAATTTACAACCACCCCTCCTCCCCAAAATTGCATGACAGAGATTTCATCAAACCCAACAACTGATGAAACAAAGAAAACAAAACAGAGAGAGGACTTTAGAAACAGTCCTTGTGCGTTCCTTCAGAGTTTGCCGTGTCACCCAGATGACCTGTATCTGTGTCTGCCTATCCTGCTGCTCTACGCATTACTTATCTTTGGATCCCCCATGCCTAGCACCGTGCCTGGCACATAGTAGGTCTCAACATAAGTGCCATGGTAGGTGCTTCACATAAGTGCCCATTATTTATTGGGCTGGAGCTGGTTAGAACAAATGCCGTCCCTTCCCCGGGACTGTAGCCCGCAGACCTGTGCGAGGCTTCAGCTTGATTTCTGTTCACCTGGGCCCCCAGGGCAGACTGTGCATTTCCGTAAGCACCTCACTCACCTGCAGGAGTGGGGCCGGGTGGGTGGTGAGCATCGGAGTGCTCAGTGTTCAGTTACTCAGAAAGTGGGTTAAAGGGCAGAGCTCCTGCTTCCTCCAGAGATGCCCTTCTGTTCTCTGAAATGGCAACTCTGCACTCACTTAATGGGATCCCAGATAACATGTTGCAAACCAGTCCTTTATCACTGTTGCCCCTTTCAAATGCTGGCCATTAAAAGCAGGCCATTTCACGGTGCTTTAATGATGACACTAATCACTGTGGATTTTTGTCTCCTGGAGTCCTGATGAGCTGAGCCAAGGAGTAAATTATGGAGCTAACTTTTATGTGCACGGTTTATTGATCTGTGAGCTTCAAGGAAACTACACCAGCCCCTACAGTTTGGCAGCCCAGATTACCTTTTCATCTGTGTAATTGGGCCATGCGGGCACAGTTAATATTCAATTTATATTAATAGGAAGACAAAGAACATGATGTGCCGTCTCCATATTGAAGTAATGGGCATATCTAAGTATTCTACCCGGTCAGTATAAATAAATCCGTTTCCCCATGGCTTAGCAAGGATGATGTTGCTAATTCACTGTGCATTTCACCCTCATTTATCCTGAGAAAGTTCAGTATTTATACTTGCAGACCACACAAGGGTGCTGTCTTCACCCCTGCTCTGGCCCCTCTTTCCTTAACAGGTGAAAGTCATGCTTCGCGTCTGTTCTACCTTGGCTCGAGATACCTCAGAATCCAGCTCTTTCTTAAAGGTGGACCCACGGAAGAAGCAGATCACCTTGTACGATCCCCTGACTTGTGGAGGTCAAAATGCCTTCCCCAAGAGAGGCAACCAGGTTCCTCCAAAGATGTTTGCCTTTGATGCGGTTTTTCCACAAGATGCTTCTCAGGTGGGTATCGGCCCCCTCTCAGGCTCAGGCAATGTTGATTAAAGAAGCGTTCGCTCATTCACAAGGACCCCTGAGCTGGAAGGGTGTCTTCTGGAGCATTCTGATGGACCAGTTCCTCCAGGAGTCAGTCTGAGCTCCCTCGAATGGTCCAGTGCTGTTGAATTACTGGTGTCAGACCCTGGGCAGGACCTGTGTGCAGGGATTTCAATAAAATATGTCCTTGGGGAGAAGGAAGTATGAGCCAGTCAGTGGATCACACACAGAAGCAGGAAAGTAACAGACAGGAAGGAACAAGGACAACTGCGTCAAGGTGCTGGAGACAGGTCTAGGAGGAGCCTACTCCTGCCTGGGTTTCTGGGTGCGGGCATTGTACAAAGGGAAAAAAGGTTTCAGGGAGCTGATTAGAATTAGGCACTATCCTAGGACCCTATATAAGCACACTGGGGTTGAGGGCACGTCTATAGTCCTGGTAAGGAACCGGAATGTAAGGCAGGGAAACTGAGGCTGACACACATCCTGTGGCGTGGCTCAGTGGAGTGAAGGGGAAGAAGAGAGGCTTGGGGATAGGTGTTATATTTGTTTAATTGCTCATTACAAATCACCCTAAAATTCAGTGCTTAACACAAGAAGCATTTGTTCTTGCTCACAGGGCAGCTGATCAGCTCCTCTGTTCCTAGCTCAGCTCATGTTTATGTCTGTCGTCAGCTGTGGGTGGGTAGGCAGCTCTGTAGGTCTTGGCTAGATTAATCCTGTATTACACTGTAGGCACATGGCTTTGGGTTGGCTGGCTTTACACTGGTCTAGAATAGCCTTGATCAGGTCAGCTGGTCTCTCTTCCATACTGCCTCTCATCGTCCAGCAGGCAAGGCTGGGCTAGTTCTCAAGGCACTGTTCAGGACCCACGCGTACAGGCCTATTGAGGCCTAAGCTCAGCATTGACCCAGTATCACTTCTGCTGGATTCTACTGGCCCAGCTTCAAGAGATGGGGAAGAGATTGCTCCTCATGACTGGATGAGCTCCAAGCCACATTGCAAGAGGGCTGCACCCAGACTAGGATGGAGAATTGGGGCCATTTTTATTAATCTACTGTGAGCATAATTGGGAGGCTACTTGGGGGCCCAGGGTACCAAGACAACTGGGCCATGGGCAGCCAGCGAACTGTAGCCCCTACCAGATGCTGCAACTAAAGCTTCTAGTGGACATCTGCTCTCATTTGGATTCACTCTGGAGCTTTGGTGAAGATGGGCCTCTAAGTGGCACCAAACAGTACCTGTTCCTGCAGGGGACGGAGAGGGGACATGTGTGCAGAACTAACTGCAGAAATAAATAGCCAAGGTCATAGGTATACAGTGCCCTCCGTAGCCTGGATTTTGCAATTTTTAGATCAGTTTCTAATGCTTGTCAAGATTTACATCAAAGTGCATAGTAACTAGTAATCCATACCAGAAGCTGAGGGCAGCAGTGTGAATGCTACTATCTGCAGCCTCTGTTAATTTCCTCCAGCGTGCATCTGAGTGGAGGAGGAGGTAGTGTTCTCACCGGCTCTTATATTACACCACATAACACACGTTATAAGTTCCATTCATTCAGAATTTTAGCATGTGGTTTCCCCAAAGAGTTTTACCCAAGAAGACAAAGTACTTTATGAGTAAGTTCTACGGTTTCTCTCTTTATTACATTTTTTTGTGTGGCATACCACCCAATGGGCTCAGTCATTTAAACTTGACATTGGGTCTAATAAATGCTCTACAAATAATTTAATTAACACAGTTAAAACTTTTCAGAAGCAAATCTCCACAAGTTGTAAGGATTCCAAAGCAAACCCTAAATTAAGCAGGGACTATTAATGAGTTTTAGATTTATTCCAGAAAAAGGAGCCATCTTTATTGCTAGTCTTTGTTTACATTTCACACTTGGCTCCAGAGCTCTGTATGCTCAGTGCTGGAGTTTCACTCATTTCGGAATGCCTTACTTTCATTCAAATTTCCAGTGCTATAATAAATTACATGTCTGTATACATTTGCAGTTTTCAAGATATTTCATAGACATGAAAGCATTTGACTGGATTTCAGTGGGGCAGGAAGGGAGGCATTGCTGTTTTCACATAACACACAAGGAATCTGAGACTCAAAGATTAAGTCACTTGTTGAAAGTCCCTTCCCGAGCAGACGTCCTTCCTGAATTCCTCCTGTTACGTCTCTCTATCCTGCTCGATACGGTATCGTATCTTTGACCTCCCTCCTTTTTATCCAGTATTTCCTAGCAATATGGCCTCAGGCGAGTCACTCAACCTCTCTGGGCCTCAGTGTCCCCATCTGTCAAATGGGGACATGACCAGTGTTCTTCATCAGGCTGTGTGATTCATCAAATTGACACGGTGCTCACGGCAGAGCCAGGAACACAGCAAGTGCTCAATAAATGTGGCTATTTTTTACTGTTATCATTGTCAATATCAGTAGCATGCTGCTGAGCGGGGCCAGCTCAGCCCCAAGGGGCGAGCACCGCTGGAGCTCCCAAAGCCTGAAAGCAGGGAGTGTGTGGAGTGGGCCTCCGCTCTCAAGCCCTGAGTTTCAGTCTGTGAAGCCCCAGCCACCATGGTGACCCAGGCAGTTATGAATTGTGCTTTCTCCTGGCCTCTAAGGAAATCAGCTAAGCAATGATTAGAACAGTCCTGGTTCCTAGTTGCCTTTAACAGACATCCATATTACCCTTCAGTGGCCTCAGCAGTCACTGGCTGCCCCTGTTGGGACACACCTCTGCTGGGATGAGAACCCGGACTTGTGGGCAAGAAGAGGCTTCCTGCAGACCTGGCCCTGCCCGTGGGGCTGTGCTCGGGAAGGCTGCGTGCCTCTCCAGCTCCAAGGAGAGCAGTGAGGGGCCTCCAGGGGCCAGTGTCAGCTCTTAACACACACCAGACGGACTGCCCACGACCACCCTTCTCAGTGGAGAGCCGAGCAGGAACTCTGCCAGGGGATGCCGCCCCAACTCTGCACAGCAAGGCCTCCTCTCGCCCCAGCCCCTGCACAGGTGACCCAGTGTGGTCCACACACTCCCAGCATTCTCCCAGGTGCCTCAAAAATCAAACGCCACTTATGTAGGTACAGCTCAAGGTGACTGCTCAGCCTCTGGCCTCCCATCTCACTTTATCTCCAAAGAAGGCTTAGTTCATCGGGCAGCCTTCTGCCTGCTCTGCAGATGCCTCCTGCAAATTCCATCAAGATGCTACTGCTTCTGTGTCAGGGTTAGCACTGGGCTCTCCCTGCCTAGGTCCTGGGGCTTTGAAAGATCCTGTGTTCCCCACAGCAGCCCTGTCCTGCCACCCCTTTGGCCCAGGAGAAGCCCCCTTGCCCCCACAGTGTGGCTGAGGCCCACCCTGGAACAAGGGACAGTTGTTGGAAGTGTGGTTTTTCCGTTTCAGTTTAGGAGAGAAAACTGACTTCCAAATACTTGGGTTCATTGTGCTGCGGGAACCCACAGCTGAATGACAGCATTCATAGCCCAGGTGCCCACTGGGAGGCACGCTGCCCCACAAAGCCCTGTGTTAGCACCGCCTCCCAGAGCTTCCACCAGCTCTGACTCCAGCCCGAGGCAGAAGTGAAAGCAGCAGGGCGCAGGGAGAATGCTGTCTTCCTGCGTCTGTGACAAGTCTCAGGTGCTAACCAAAGAGAAGGACGTTTCCCAGACTTCCAAGTTAGTCCTCCAAACTGCAGATAGCTCTATTAGTGGGTGTTCAGGGGAAATACAAAATGTCCTCCAGGGCCTGGTCCCTGTCTAGGATTTAATAATCAAATTGGAGAGCAGACACACACACCAGGCTGAAGAACACTTAACAACATGCCACGTGGTGACTGATATTATATATGTTGAATCTATCTGTAGCAAAAGAAAGAAAAGGCAGGCTTTGAAAAGAGGAGGGTGGATCGGTTGTGTGGCTCACACCTATAATCCCAGCACTTTGGGAGGCTGAGGTGGGTGGATCACCTGAGGTCAGGAGTTCGAGACCAAGCCTGACCAACATGGTGAAACCCCAGCTCTACTAAAAAAAAAATTAAAATAATTAACCAGGCATGGTGGTGTGTGCCTGTAATCCCAGCTACTTGGGAGGCTAAGGCAGGAGACTCGCTTGAGCCCAGGAGGTTTAGGTTGCAGTGAGTGGAGATTGCCATTGCACTCCAGAGAGAAAGAAAGAGAAAGAAGGAGAGAAAGAAAGAGAAAGGAGAGAGAGAAAGCAAAGGAAGGAAGAAAGGAAGGAAGGAGGAAGATGTGAATTGAGAATGAAGAAAGAGATCAGTAGAGAAAGGCTTGGTGCCACAAGGAAAAATTAGCAGTGAGACAAAGGATTTTTCAGCAAAGCAGTTTTACGTCCTGCACTGCAGAAGGGAACCCTTGCTAGGCATCTTGCCACGAGAGCACGATGAGCAAAGGAAAAGCAGACATATTTATCCCTTACGCATTTGGGATTGTTCTTACCATGTTTGATCTCCGCTGGTTGGAGCCAGACCTTACCATTTAAACTAAAACCCAATTGGCTAGTAACTTAAACTTGTTTAAACAGGTAAGGGTCATAGACTGTGAGCTGTGAGCACGTCCAGCACAGACATTTTGGTTAAAGTATAAGGACATAGAATATACTATGTGTCTGTAAGCATGGCATGTTTAACAGCTACACAGGATAGGGCTAAACAAAGAGTTCTTAGCAAATTTATTTTTTAACAAGCAAGGAAATTTTGAAGAGGAACTTTTCTACTTTCCACACTTATGAAATGGTGGGTCACCTTTTCCCCCACTAGGAAGCCTGGCCTGTTACATGAACTATAGGTATACGTGTGTTAGCAGAGAGAGAACGGAGAGGTTAAAGGCCTTGTCCCGGGGGGGCCAGATGGCAGATGAGGGAAGGGAATGAGGTCCATTCCAGCCTGTCCCTGCCTGGTCTACAGACGCAGCCGCTGAAATGTACCAGAGATTAGCAGGAGGGTGTTGCAGCTCACGTGCGTAGTGCTCAGGCTTGCAAAGGGCGGAAGGTAGCCAAGGGTTCTGAGCATCTCCAGGATGTCACAGCAGAGGCCGACCCACCTGATACACAGTGACACTGGGCCCCGAAGCCCCGGGAAGGTGGGCTCACTTTCGTTGTTAGTGATGCCTCCGCTGCGCGATCCATTCACAGCTGGTGTCTCCTCTTGTGTCTGACAGGCTGAAGTGTGTGCGGGCACCGTGGCGGAGGTGATCCAGTCTGTGGTCAACGGGGCAGACGGCTGCGTGTTCTGTTTCGGCCACGCCAAGCTGGGTTCGTGAGAGTTTCACCTTCTCGTGCCACTGGGCGGGCTCCCTGTCATCCCCTGCATTCTTCTGTGTCCCCGCCAGAGTCCTCTGGTGAAGGGAAGGTTGTGTTTCTCTTAGGTGCTGAGCTAAATAACCAATAACAAGTTACACAACGCACACTATGTTGTTCATCGCAGGCGGACACCCATTCATATAGGAAAGCTTTCAAGTCAAAGACATGGACAGAGAAGCAGCAGGGTTGTTCCCACTGGGTCCAGGTCAGAGTCAAGCCCAGAAGGCAGGCGGGGAAACATTGATTTCCTGAGCAGCTGCTGTTGGGGAAGCAGATAGGGCCCCTTGCACCTCCCCTCCACGAGGATGCGGGTTAGTGGTTGGAGCCCTTGTAAAAGCCGGAGAGGGCCAGGCGCAATGGCTCTCACCTGTAATCCTAGCTCTTTGGGAGGCTGAGACGAGTGGATTGCCTGAGCTCAGGAGTTCGAGACCAGCCTGGGCAACACGGCAAAACGCTGCCTGTACTAAAATACAAAAAAATTGGCCGGCGTGGTGGCACATGCCTGTAATCCCACTTACTTGGGAGGCTGAGGCAGGAGAATCACTTGAACCATGGAGGAGGAGGTTGCAGTGAGCCGAGATGGCGCCATTGCACTCCAGCCTGGGTGGAGAGTGAGACTCCGTCTCCAAAAAAAAGTGGGAGGAGCAACCTCCAAGCAAAGCCCAGAGCCGTGGTGGGACGCTGTCAGGAACGCTCCAGCACTGAAGCATCTGGGAAAGGAGGCAGCAGAGTCCCCCAACAAGAGGTTCATAATCCGCCCCCCTCACCAGTCCCTTCTTAATTCTGACCTGGGGCCATCTGCTCTACACACTTGATATGCTTAGTGAATTGAGGGGCTCCAAAAAGTGTCCCTTGGCAGAGATTCCAAGAGAGGCCTGGCAGAGCTCACAGAGGCCGGTTCTCAGCCAGGACAGAAAGCCATGCCCCTCTCTGCACTTCCATCCTTCCCTGCCCTTCCTCTTGATCTGCAGCTAAGCAGTGATCTGGATTTTAATGGAATTTGCTCATGCCGTAAAAATATACACAGCATTTAACTTGAAAAAGGTTATAAAGGGTGAATATGTGGACTAATCTGTGAGGTGACCATAAAGAGAACCATGGTGATGAAAAGCCCCTTCCCTCCTGCTGTGTAAGCAGTGCGGAAACTGGATAGCATGTGATATTTGGGGTCCTCCTCAAGGTACATTGTGATTTAATTTTGCCGCACGTCTGGGCTCTTGCTTTGCGTTTTTTTGAGAGATAGGCTCTCAGTTGCCTGGGCTGGAGGACAATGGCATGCTCACAGATTACTGTAACCTCCAATTCCTGGGCTCAAGCGATCCTCTGACCTCAGCCTCTCAAGTGCCTGGACCACAGGCACGCCCCACCTCACCCAGCTGATTTTTAAGCATTTTTTTATAGAGGCAGGGTCTCAGTGTGTCGCCCAGACTGGCCTGGAGCTCCTGGCCTCAAGCAGTCCTCCCGCCTTGGCCTCTCCATGTGCTGAGATACCAGCGTGAGCCACTGAGCCCAGCAGCCTTCTTCATTAGGGCCATTTAATTAGTAATGCCCGAAAACGCCTTGTTGCCACATGGCATTTCTCTCATCGTTTCGTTCCTTTGCCCCACTTGCCCATGCCCTTCTTCTCCATGCGTGGCATCTATTTTGAGCCGCTGTGGAAGGATGCCTGAACACTCAAACTGCTTTTCTTCCTCCCCTGGCTCTCCCAGGAAAGTCCTATACCATGATTGGAAAGGACGGTTCCATGCAGGACCTGGGCATCATCCCCTGCGCCATCTCTTGGCTCTTCAAGCTCATAAACGAACGGAAGGAAAAGACCGGCACCCGTTTCTCAGTCCGGATCTCCGCCGTGGAAGTGCGGGGGAAGGAGGAGAACCTGCGGGACCTGCTGTCGGAGGTGGCCACGGGCAGCCTGCAGGACGGCCAGTCCCCGGGCGTGTACCTGTGTGAGGACCCCATCTGTGGCACGCAGGTGATTGAAGCCTGGTAGCGTCTTCCCTGCCTCAGGCCGGGCCAGCTCGACCATGAATCACTCAACCTGTTATCTGGGAGGCTAACGGGTGTTTACTTTAAAGTGGACTGGAACTTTATAGCCTGCAGCTGCGGTCTGCTCGGCCAGTCTAAATATTTGTACCTTGACTTTAATTGACAATGAGCAGGAACCACAATTGTTATAGCATTTCAGAGAGAAATTGAATTCACTTCCTTTATGCCCCATTCAAAAGAAAAAAAAAAAAAAGACAATCTTTCTTTTGTTTAACAACAAACCGAAATATTTACTGCTCTTCACCAATAGCTACAGCCATTACCGGGGCTGTTTATGACTCCATAAACTGTGTTTCTGGCACTGGTTTACAGCCGGATTAGCAGTGCTGCAGGAAAAACTAATAGCCACTTTCTAATTAGAGCCATGATGTAATTGCTGGAGCTGTGGAAGCCAAGAGAAGCTCCAGTTCTCAGCTTGAGGGTGCTGTGTCTTGCGAGGGTCTCTCCTTTGCTGTTTGACAGTAGATGTGGGACTGACTTGGGAGCCACGGTTCATTTCCAGAATAATCAGTCCTTCCTGTCTCTAGCAGTAGGCCTTAGTTTCCTGTTTGATCAGATGCCTCCTTTTTTGGATAGGTGTTCCGTTTGATAAGTACCTGCCTCAGCTGGGCGTGGTGGCTCACGCCTGTCATCCAGCACTTTGGGAGCCCAAGGCGGGCAGATCACGAGGTCAGGAGTTTGAGACCAGCCTGGTCAACATAGTGAAACCCCGTCTCTACTAAAAATTAAAAAAAAAAAATTAGCGGGGTGTGGTGGCAAGCACCTGTAATCCCAACTACTCGGGAGGCAGGAGAATCACTTGAACCCAGGAGGCAGAGGTTGCAGTGAGCCGTGACCATGTCCTTGCACTCCAGCCGGGTGACAGTGAGAGACTCTGTCTCAAAAAAAAAAAAAAAAAGAAAAGAAAAGAAATATAAGTACCTGCCTCTTCCCAACAGGGACTGTTTGCAGAGATGAAGACACCTCCCGTGGCTTGTCATACTCTGCTCAAACCTGACCATGCTCTTCCCCTGCTTAAAGCACCTCATCGTTCCATTTTCCTCTGAGTCCTCTTTCATCTGCATCAGTCACCGGCGGACTTGTTTAAACCCTGATTGCTGGACACTGCCCCCACAGCTTCCAATTCCATAGGCTGGAGTAGAGCTCCAAAGTGTGTGTGGATTTCTAACCAGTTCCCATGAGATGCTGGTGCTGCTAATCCAGGGCTCACATGTTTGAAAGCACTGCTTTGAGGCGTGAAATGTGCTGAGGTGGCATCTACAGGGTGCCCGCGATGCCATCCATCAGCAGGGCCTGACCCCCCGCTCCTGTTCCAGGCATTTCCTAGGCATTCAAATCTGCTTTCACCTCTGTTGCTTTTAGAGCTTCATTGATGAAGTTCCACTGAGGGGTGAAAGATCTGGTTACATGAAGGCAAAGAAAAAGAGGGAAAGACGATGTTTCCTTTAACTCTCATTGAAAAATCTTTGAAATGCTTTGGTTTATGTTTCCATAGCAAGTCAAAATTGTGAACACAAAAGAATCTCTCTTTGAAGTTTGAGGATTTTGGTGGTCTCAGGTTCAGGTTCTAAATGTTAGCTCTTAAAGTGAGTTCAAAATTATTTGTATAGTTAGAGTAGAAAATTATCAGAATTTGTACCAACCTTAAGACATATATTGCAAATTAGTTCTTTGAACAAATCAGAAACATGAATTTCCTTTTCTCCCCACAAAGAGGAGTGCTGGTTAAATTCTGTTAAGATGATTGTTGTGATTCAGGTTTAAAATAATTGCCAAGTGTTTTCATAAGATTTAGACGCATTACTTTCTATGCTTTCTTTAATCGATTCATGAGTATGCCAGGAACAGGGATACCTCCTACATTTAGATAAGACATTCAAGTGTCGTGGGTGTTTCAGGGTGCCGTTTACACTGGCTTATTTAAAACTATGCTAGTAAATATGACCTAAAATTGGCTTTAATCAAGTAACTGAAAAACTAGGAGTCAAATGAAAGCTAACTAAGTTTTTTAACCTCTTTGGGATACCTCTGCTATCAGGTCTAAAATCACGGTTTGCAGCAGACCTGTCTCCAAACAGCCTAATCTTTGGAATCAAGATACTGCCGCATCCTCCTGTTTTCTTAGCTAAATGCATAGCCAGGGGTGTTGGCTTGTTGTCCTCTGCAGAGATAAGGATGGGCCGTCTGCTCCCAGCTTTTCAACCCCGTATTTCCAGATTCTACTTAGGATGTCAAATGGGTAAAACTAGGTTTCATCCAATAAGTATGCTCAACATTAATTTTCAGAAATGAATTAATTAAGCTGAGAATTGCACATGAGTACAGCACCTGGTTCCAGAAGGGTTTCGAGCTTAGAGAGGTGGAATCTGAAAGCTTCAGCTCTTGGCTTCTGTCTTCCAGCTGCAGAATCAGAGCGAGCTGCGGGCCCCCACCGCGGAGAAGGCTGCCTTTTTCCTGGACGCCGCCATCGCCTCCCGCAGGAGCCACCAGCAGGACTGTGACGAGGACGACCACCGTAACTCACACATGTTCTTCACACTGCACATCTACCAGTACCGGATGGAGAAGAGCGGAAAAGGCGGAAGTAAGTCGACCGGTACCACGCTCCCCTCGTCCTCCTTAGTGGCTCTGGCCCCAGCCATGAACCCCTCAGACAACCATGACCTTTGTGTGTGTCTGTGTGACAGTGTGTTGCTCTGTCACCCAGGCTGCAGTGCAGTGGCACAATCACAGCTCACTGCAGCCTCCAACTCCTGGGCTCAAGTGATCCTCCTGCCTCAGTTTCCCAAGTATCTGGGACTACAGGCTCCTCCCACCACATCTAGCTATTTATTTATTTATTTATTTATTTTTTAAGCCATTTATTTATTTTATTGCATTTTACGTTTTGGGGTACATGTGAAGAACATACAAAATTGTTGCATAGGAACACACGTGGCAGTGTGATTTGCTGCCTTCCTCCCCATCACCTACATCTGGCATTTCTCCCCTTGCTATCTCTCCCCAGCTTCCCACCCCGCACCGTCCCTCCCCTATTTCCCCCCAACTGACCCCAGTGTGTGATGCTCCCCTCCCTGTGTCCATGTGTTCTCGTTGTTCAACACCCGCCTATGAGTGAGAACATGCGGTGTTTGATCTTCTGCTCTTCTGTCAGTTTGCTGAGAATGATGGTTACCAGGTTCATCCATGTCCCTACAAAGGACCCAAACTCATCGTTTTTGATGGCTGCATAATATTCCATGGTGTATATGTGCCACATTTTCCCTATCCAGTCTATCGTCGATGGGCATTTGGGTTGGTTCCAGGTCTTTGCTATTGTAAACAGTGCTGCAATGAACATTCTTGTGCACATGTCCTTATAATAGAACGATCTGTAATCCTTTGGATATATACCCAGTAATGGGATTGCTGGGTCAAATGGAATTTCTATTTCTATGTCCTTGAGGAATTGCCACACTGTCTTCCACAATGGTTGAACTAATTTACACTCCCACCAACAGTGCAAAAGTGTTCCTATTTCTCCACATCCTCTCCAGCATCTGCTGTCTCCAGATTTTTTAATGTTCGCCATTCTTACCGGCGTGAGATGGTATCTCAATGTAGTTTTGATTTGCATTTCTCTGATGACCAGTGATGATGAGCATTTTTTCATATGTTTGTTGGCCTCACGTATGTCTTCTTTTGTAAAGTGTCTGTTCATATCCTTTGCCCACTTTCGAATGGGCTTGTTAGTTTTTTTCTTGTAAATCTGTTTTAGTTCTTTGTAAATTCTGGATATCAGCCCTTTGTCAGATGGGTAAACTGCAAAAATTTTTTCCCAATCTGTTGGTTGCCAATTCACTCTAATGATTGTTTCTTTTGCTGTGCAGAAGCTGTGGAGTTTGATTAGGTCCCATTTGTCTATTTTGGCTTTTGTTGTCAATGCTTTTGGTGTTTTGGTCATGAAGTCCTTGCCTACACCTATGTCCTGAATGGTTTTGCCTAGATTTTCTTCTAAGGTTTTTATGGTGTTAGGTCTTATGTTTAAGTCTTTAATCCATCTGGAGTTAATTTTAGTGTAAGGTGTCAGGAAGGGGTCCAGTTTCTGCTTTCTGCACATGGCTAGCCAGCTTTCCCAACACCATTTATTGAACAGGGAATCCTTTCCCCATTGCTTGTTTTTGTCTGGTTTGTCAAAGATCAGGTGGTTGTAGATACGTTGTGTTGCCTCTGAGACCTCTGTTCTGTTCCATTTGTCTATATCTCTGTTTTGGTAGCAGTACCATGCTGTTTTGATTACTGTAGCCTTGTAGTATAGTTTGAAGTCTGGTAGTGTGATGCCCCCTGCTTTGTTCTTTTTGCTTAGAATTGACTTGGCTATGCGGGCTCTCTTTTGGTTCCATATGAAGTTTAAGGTGGTTTTTTCCAGTTCTGCGAAGAAGGTCATTGGTAGCTTGATGGGGATAGCATTGAATCTGTAAATTACTTTAGGCAGTATGGCCATTTTCACGATATTGATTCTTCCTAACCATGAACATGGGATGTTTCTCCATCTGTTTGTGTCCTCTCTTATTTCGTTGAGCAGTGGCTTGTAGTTCTCCTTGAAGAGGTCCTTTACATTCCTTGTTAGTTGTATTCCTAGGTATTTTATTCTCTTTGTGGCAATTGTGAATGGCAGTTCATTCTTGATTTGGCTCTCTTTAAGTCTGTTATTGGTGTATAGGAATGCATGTGATTTTTGCACATTGATTTTGTATCCTGAGACTTTGCTGAACTTGTTTATCAGTTTCAGGAGGTTTGGGGCTGAGACGATGGGGTCTTCTAGATATACAACCATGTCGTCTGCAAATAGAGACAATTTGACTTCCTCCTTTCCTATTTGAATGCCGTTTATTTCTTTTTCTTGCCTGATTGCTCTGGCTGAAACTTCTAATACTGTATTGAATAGCAGTGGTGAGAGCGGGCATCCTTGTCTGGTGCCACATTTCAAGGGGAATGCTTCCAGTTTTTGCCCATTCAGTATGATATTGGCTGTTGGTTTGTCATAAATAGCTTTTATTATTTTGAGATACATTCCATCGATACCTAGCTTATTGAATGTTTTTAGCATAAAGGGCTGTTGAATTTTGTCAAAGGCCTTCTCTGCATCAATTGAGATAATCATGTGGTTTTTGTCTTTGGTTCTGTTTATGTGGTGAATTACGTTTACATACTTGCGTATGTTGAACCAGCCTTGCATCCCCGGGATGAAGCCTACTTGATCATGGTGGATAAGCTTTTTGATGTGCTGTTGCAATCGGCTTGTCAGTATTTTATTGAAGATTTTTGCATCTATGTTCATCATGGATATTGGCCTGAAGTTTTCTTTTCTTGTTGAGTCTCTGCCGGGTTTTGGAATCGGGATGATGTTGGTCTCATAAAATGATTTGGGAAGAATTCCCTCTTTTTGGATTGTTTGGAATAGTTTCAGAAGGAATGGCACCAGCTCCTCTTTGTATGTCTGGTAGAATTCGGCTGTGAACCCATCTGGACCTGGGCTTTTTTTGGGTGGTAATCTCTTAATTGCTGCCTCAACTTCAGACCTTGTTATGGGTCTGTTCAGGGTTTTGGCTTCTTCCTGGTTTAGGCTTGGCAAGAGGCAAGTGTCCAGGAATTTATCCCTTTCTTCCAGGTTTATTAGTTTGTGTGCATAGAGTTGTTTGTAATAATCTCTGATGATGGTTTGAATTTCTGTGGAATCTGTGGTGATATCCCCTTTATTGTTTTTTATTGCATCAATTTGGCTATTCTCTCTTTTCTTTTTTATTAATCTGGCTAGTGGTCTGTCTATTTTGTTGATCTTTTCAAAAAACCAGCTCCTGGATTTATTGATTTTTTGAAGGGTTTTTTGTGTCTCTTTCTCCTTCAGTTCTGCTCTGATCTTAGCTATTTCTTGTCTTCTGCTAGACTTTGAGTTTTTTTTACCCTGCTCCTCTAGCTCTTTCAGTTTTGATGATAGGGTGTCAATTTTTGATCTCTCCTTGCTTCTCATGTGGGCACTTATTGCTATATATTTTCCTCTAGAGACTGCTTTAAACATTCTGGTATGTTGTGTCTTCATTCTCGTTGGTTTCGAAGAACATCTTTATTTCTGTCTTCATTTCATTGTTTATCCAGTCAACATTCAAGAGCAAGTTGTTCAGTTTCCATGAAGCTGTGCGGTTCTGAGTTAGTTTTTGAATTCTGAGTTCTAACTTGATTGCACTGTGGTCTGAGAGACTGTTTGTTATGATTTCCGTTCTTTTGCATTTGCTGAGGAGTGATTTACTCCCAATTATGTGGTTATTTATTTATTTATTTTTGTAGAGATGGGACCTTGCTATGCTGTCCAGGCTGGTCTAGAACTCCCAGTCTTGAGATCTTGTTGGCTTGGTCTCCCAAAGTGTTGGGATGACAAGTACGAGCCACCATGCCCAGCCAAACTGTTCTTAATTGACTACAGTATGCATTTCAGTGACTCATAATTCAAGATAATTACAGTGTCTGGACGGAAGTTTACTTTTGAACAGTCCAGGGAAGGGAGTTTGCTTTGGTAAAGATGATTTATGAATGTGATTGCCATGAGCAGGTGAGAGACCGAACTTACAAAAAGAAAACAGCCGCCTCGCAGTGTCTTTTTGTTCACAGACCCTAAAAATGCTCCTAGAGAAACACCAGCATCGACTCACCCAAGCCGGGCAGTGTGGTCTTATCATTAGCTTGAGTCCACTATAGGAGCCATGTTTTTTAAATAGCATGGAAATGAGACTTTTGAATAACTAACCAGACCCTGGCTGCCTCCCTCAAATCGTGCCCGTCAGTGAAGGTTTGCGGTTAAAACCCAAGCACGGTGCCTGCTCTCTGAATGAGCTGCACTGCCAGGAACCTAACCCAGTGCCTCTCCAGACCCCACTGGCTGCGTCTGCAAAGTCAGCAGGGGCCGTGGGGCAGCTCTCCATCCTCTGTGAAGTGGTGTCTGCTCTATACCTGACAGAGTTGAGTACGATCAGCTGCATGTTTCCAGTGGGGATCCTGGACCGGGGCAAAGTGGTCTGCTGATTTCACTGGGTTCCCACGGCGAGCTGTGGGTAACAGGGCTGTCGGGCTGGCCAGGCAGTGCTTCTGTGGTTCCTCTGTGCCCATCTCTGTAGGGCTTTCAATACGCGGGCATCTGTCTCCTGGCACCTTCTGCATGATTGTCTCAGAGACACTGGATGCCAGAAAAGCAATCTGAAAACTGAGTTAAGAGTCTAACCCTGGGCCAGGCACAATGGCTCATGCCTGTAATCCCAGCACTTTGGGAGGCCAAGATGGACAGATCACAAGGTCAGGAGTTCGAGACTGGCCTGGCCAGTATGGTGAAACTCTATCTCTACTAAAAATAGAAAAATTAGCTGGGTGTGGTTGCAGGCACCTGTAGTCCCAGCTGCTTGGGAGGCTGAGGCAGGAGAATTGTTTGAACCTAGAGGCAGAGGTTGCAGTGAGCCGAGATAGCACCACTGCACTCCAGCCTGGGTGACAGAGCTAGACTCCATCTCAAAAAAAAAAAAGAAGAGTCTAACCCTGGACTGGACTGGAAATTGTAAA